AAAAAAACCTCTACATGGTTTTTATTGATCTAAAGAAAACTTATGATAGAGTACCTCGATATTTAATTTGGTGAGTGTTGGAAAAAAAATAAGTCTCCATATACTACATCAACTTGGTGAGAGATATATATGACGGGGAGCTAATTAATGTGTGAACAACTAGTGGAGAGACGAGTGAGTTTTCAACGACAATAGGTCTACATCAGGGAGCTCATACCTCTTTGTCTTAATTATGGACAACTTAACTAGGCACTTACAAGAGGAGCTATTATAGTATATGTTATTTGCAAATGACATAACTTCGATCAATGATACTCAAAATGGTATAAAGTTCGAACTTTAGAACAGTGCTCTAGAATCTAAATATTTTAAAATTAGTCGGATTGAGATATATTATATGGCATACAAGTTTAGTAATAATACGAGTAGAAACGAGGAAGTAGTTAAGATTTAAGGTCAAGAAATACCAAAAAGAGCATGTTTTCTATATCTTGAGTCGATAATCTAAAAAAATAGGGGCCAAGAAATACTAATTTGCCCTTTTGCGGTTTTTCCTACAAACTTTAAGTTTATCTCTCTTGTCTATATACTAGATAGCAGTAGTTTGGGATACATTAATCCCCTCTTCCTTAAAAGAATTTACCCTTGAATTCAGCCGCTCGTTGTTGGAGGTATCACCATAATATGGAATAAGAAGCTGGACATTGAGAACATTAGAATTGTGAATATGGCTAGGAAGCTTCAATTTGTAGGCATTGTTATTGATCTTCTTCAAAATTTTGAATGGTCATTCCTTGGCGAGACTTTCGATCAAGGCGTGTCATTTTACTGCATTTCCCATAGAGATTGGATGAACTATGTTTTTGCCCAATTGGGAATCACCATACTTTAGTACATAACCACAACAAACTTGGTCCTGAACACATCGGAGAATACTCTACCATGAATTTTGAAGCAGATCAAGATTAATGATGCATTGCCCCTGCGATTTCCTTCAGTTTATACAAAGTGATTAGATATAGAGGTTCTCCACTCAAAACAAAAAAAAGATTGAAATTGAACTCCAACATCAGGAATCACATAAGCAACCATTCGATAGTCACCTTCTATATTGATCTCACTAGCAAAAAGCGCATGAGAAAATATCACCAAATCTTTAGGGCACAACCTCATATGATAATCCATTTTCGGGTAAGACATCAAGAAAAACAACATCTTTATTGTCACGATAATATTCTTGGTCCGTTTCTTCAGCTTTCTATTCTTCATAAAGATCATCACCCATCAAATCATCATCAAAGATGGGATCACTATCAAGGACAACATCACTATTTCCATCAAGAGGTTCATTGCTAAAGATTGGATCACTATTAATGCTATGATCATCTACTTGTTTCTCAACACTCAAATCATCCAAGTAGTCGTCAAAAACTGATGGTGAGTCCCAGTTTACAATATGCTAATCTTGAGAACCATATGATGAGAACAAAGTTTCTCCATGATTTTCTTCAGATAAACTTCCATAAAACTCAAGGATCACAACCTTTAGACTGGTTTTCCACCTCCGTACAATCTACTACCTCTCTCCTTGGAGCTTGATCATGGAAATGATTTATATATTCTTCATTTGCCTCAATTTCATACTCCAAAATGGGGCTTCTATATGCGCTAAACACAAAGCTAGGGTTATGACCAATCTCCTCATATTTGCAATCTCTTCTCGCGAACTAGCATAAAAGGCTTCTATAGTTGTCGTTGTTCCTCATTTTCCTCGTCATGGAGGCATGGTTGTTGATCTAGAGCACAAAAATCGATGCTACAATACTTGCTACAGTAGTGTGTTATAATGTTTTCCTTACTGATCACCGTTTGCTATGATACCAACCTAGTGCGGACCTAGTAGCTTGAGCTAGGGTTTTAACAAAGAAGAAGATAGTGAAAATCCAATAATAGAGAAGTATTAAAAACTTAGAGGTAAAAGATGAGCACTTGCTACTCTAAGGTTTTACATAAAAGTCCGTAACATAATAATTCATATGCTTTAGGACATCCCTTTTATATATAAAAAAAAGCCCTAAATAAAACTTGAGCCTGGTCACCCATCTAATTTAGTCGTGGGTCTTTATCATAAAAAAACTTTTAGTGAATAAAAAGACATAAAAGACTCTAGAAATTACTACTTATTTCTCTAAGTGAATAAAAAGACTCAAGAAATAGATAAAAAAAATAGATAAAAGACATAAAATGATAGACTGAATAACTAATTTACTCTTTTGTGGTTCCCCCTGCAAACTTTAAACTTATCTCTATTGTGTAGATACTCAAGAGCAGAATTTTGAGCTACATCATAAAGAGTCCTTAGTTCTGATTGGCCGTGAACAAGGGAATTGCCTCAGATATCTAGGACTGGGTTGTTCGCTGCAACATCCAATTCACTATAGGGGCTCAAGCAATTCCCAAGACCTGGGCAGCCTTTCCTTTTTTTTCTTTTCACTTTTTTCTCCATATAGATCTACTTGCCTGGAATAAGTGAGCCAACATAGATCAGCAAGTTCCCAATTTGGCACCCAATTCCTATTATTTAACCACCACTTGGCTTGTTTGTTATTTCTGATTTGGTTGGTTACAGGGTTTCTAAGCGACATCTACTACACTGTTAATAGTGACACCATGAAGATGTTTGTATAGAGATTAGTTGTGTTAGAGCTCTCTCATATGGGACATCAGGATGCATCAATCTTACGTAAAATGTCTTCTTTATGAGCAACTGAATTCAATTTAGGTGCTTTCAAGCTTAGTTTGATGATGAAAAATTGAGGCTACAAAAAGCAAAGAGTTTCTTTACTCATCAGTTTCGAGTGAGCGACCCATCCTAAATGAGATTCGAAGGATTATACTTGCAAATTTTAATACGATATCGCCACTTGTTGGTCAGTACGGTACACACACGTGTTAGTATCTTGTGACTTCGGGCTTTTTTCGTAGGAAAAGTTTGTATGGAGATTGTTTACTTTTAGTATGATGAGCTCACAATCATTTTTGTCCATCAAATTTTGAATCAAGTGGTTGTAAGTGTATCAAATTTTGAATCAAGTGTGTATCATTGGTTAGACTAAAAGTTCAAAAAAAAATTTCTCATACTTTGTAACACAATCCAAGCCATCCAATGGGTAATGGTACATGGTATCATAATGTACCCTTTTTGTTAGCATAAGTGCATGTTAATCCATATAATTGGGCCAGGCCCAAAGCATGGGTAGTCAAAGTGGCATGGCACCATAATCTGACATCTTGAATTTTATAGGTACAAGTTTCAAGCTAATAGTCAAACACAAAAGATATATGGAAAAATGTATAATGAGACCACCTACTTTTTGTACAAAGTGGTCACAATTAATCTTGACTATTGGATGTGAAATTGGGTGGCTGCATTTATTCCAAAGACCAAGATGAAAGTTTAAAAACAATTTCTCGAACTATGTGACAAACCCATGCTATCAAATTTCACATCTGATGATCATGAGTAATATAACCTCTTTATTCCAATGGTAAATGATTTTATTGTATACAATCTCAAAATTTATATATCACGTCCTCATTGCATATTTGACAGATTTTAGGTTTTATTATCATGTCTCAATAGCTCTTTAATGCATGAGTACTTGAAGTGGAGAGAGAGAGAGCATAATCAAACAACCGAGTTTTTGAATTGAGATTCATCTCCTCAGATAAAATTGTAAAATAGCTTCCATTGTATATGAATGGCATTTAATATAATAGATTGTGTGCTACATGCAGTATGGCAGGCCTATACACGTAGTCTCTGCCGTTCTCTCAATGAACGCACGGTGGAGATAAAATCTAAACTTGAGAAGGCGATGTGAGGGTAATGGTTTTTCTTCCCGTCCATCAGGCAACCTGCTTTTATAATAGCAATGTGCATTAATCATGGACCCGGTTTTTATGAATCCCCCGACTCATACTATTTTCATCCAGGTTCCCTTGAACACCCATTGTATCGATCTTGGATGCAAATTTGTAGTGATCCATGATCTACAAAATGATGATCATGAGCATAGAAAATAAAATAAAATTTTTAAAATATTGTTATTAGAATATTTTCCTATCGATTGGATATGAATATTTAGTTGTAGATGTTCATCTTAAAGATCGATGTTTGTGATGGTGCAGGTTAGTGAGTCCGCTGACTCACAAAACACTTTTTTTTTAATCATATCGTGGACAAAGCATACTACATGTAGCATGGTAGACTTTTCCTTAAATCTGAATTCACATGCTAATAAATTTTAATCTCTTCATCATTTATGAGAGAAATTATTCTAAAAGCCTTGCAAAACCCTATAAATTATATTTTGAATATGACAAACTGCCAAAGCTCATGTCAGTCCATGCCTGGACATATAAATCACATCATTCCCAACATTCGCATCTAGTTTTTATAAATGAAACTTTATATTTTAATAAAAAAAAAAACAGAACGGTGATGCAAATCGTCCACCCTTAATCCTAATTCAGATTGGCTGGATCAGTGATCCAGATCATTCTCAAATTATCTGGATCGGTGATTTAAAAAATAATAATAAAATAAAATTTAAATTAGAGGTTTATGCATCGGGATTTAAGGGGGACCACAAAAAACATTAGAGAAGCATAAACATAAAAAATAAAAGAAAAATGAAAATGGGGATTTTAAAAGCAAAGACCAGGCCAGGACATACCATTCCGAAACCTTTTTGGTCCCAATTGAATCTGCATCCGAATCGCCGACCCAGATTGTACATCACCAAGTTTTAAAACACAGGTATAACGAGAAAGCTAAAATAAAGCCTAGGCCTTATAAAGAAAAGTAAAGCTGTTTCTAAAAAATTAATAAAAATTATAGTTACAATATCAAAAAACCATCAACTCGATCATCTCGACCTTCACCGTTATATATGTGAAAAAAATTGAGATTTCAAGCCCTATTGTAACACATTACGTAGACACCGCCCATTTTCAAATATTCACATATCCACAATATCTATACAATATTTTGACTTACAAATTTTATAATCATCAAATGGAAATAGACTTTTGAAGCCAGAGCAACGATTTCTTCCCGAAGTATTTCTCAAGGATTATAATCTCACTATCCTTGCTTGATTTTAACAACACACCGTAAAAGAATCGGCCAAAAGCCATAACCTAGCGATTATATGTTACAACTAAGAATTCAGCAGTATGGCAGCATTGATAACAGCAGATGAATATACAAATTTTTGGTCGTTTTCTTTCAATTAGTTGTACTATTCATAAAAAATGATGCACAAAATTCAGGGCTTCGGTTGCTATCTTCACCATCTTCTCACCAAAGACGTGAGGAGCTGCATCACCAAAACATTACAAAGCATTTAGTCGAAACACTGAAAAAAACTGTGTATGTGCATGTATGAGAGAGAGAGAGAGGGAGAGGAAGACGGGATGAGAGAGACTTTAATACGAGGACGATAAATGAGTAGTTTCTCTTTTTTCTTTTTGGTTTTTCATTTCTTGAGAAAACAAGAAGGAAAGATTACCTCAAAAAGCTCAAATGGATTCCCACGCCTATATACTTCGTTCTTCTTATTTAGATCAAAAGGAACGAGTGCATTCAGCATTGCTCGCCAACCAATTAGCAAAACTGCAGTGCTCCCCATCGACACCAAGATAAAAGGAAGTGGAGGGATATGGCCTGAAGTAGCTGCCCTGATCACCAAACCTAGCTACCAAAACAGAACATTCCAGTAACAATAAGCAAACCTTCTATAATCACGGAGTACATAGAAGGGCCCTTTCCCAACTGCCAGCTATGACAACTTTAGGCCAGAGAAACCATACCCCAATCTACTTCATGTGTGTGTATACACGTGTGTCTGTGAGAGAGAGAGAGAGGCCAATATGATAATTGAATCCTGAGCTATTCATTCAGTGGTCACAGCTTGAAGATTTTTACAAAACAGATAAACCAAGACGACAATTGTATGGTCTGACCTAAAGGTTTAGAAATGTGTGAACCGGTCGCCCTGTACCGGTTCTTGTGCCGGTACCAGCCGGTTCCCACAGCACCCGATTGTAAAAATTTATCGTCTTTATTCACCCCTCTGGCTCATTGTCGTATACACGGGTGCCTTTCACGTGCTTCCTATTTCAGCAGGATTCCTTTTCAAACTTTTTTGTTCCCTGTTTTCAACCCACATCTTTGATGTGAAATCAAGCGATGAACCCCTTTCAAGCGCGCTCTCTCCCTCTAACTTTGGTAAGAGCTTAGCGCATAACTTTTATGTATATACACTTGATGGGCAGTTCTTAAAATGTCTTACATTCTCTTTCAAGGACTATGATAACTATATCAGACTTGCCTCATCCTCTTAACAACTTATTAGGATAAGAGCCAATTTTCACCATATCCATTTAGTTGGCATTTATTATCCCCAGTTAGGAATTACTAGATCAACCACTGATTCAAATTGAAATTACTGGGCATGGGAGTGAATGACAAAAATAGACATGAGGAGAAAGAAGAGACAGAGAGTGGCTTACTCTAAAAGGAAAGACCAAGAGAGACGTCACTCTGGAGGGAGGAGTTCGCAAGATGCTCAGGCAATGCCTGCTCTGCTACTATGTCAAGTTAGGAAAAACTCCCAAGAGATAACATTCCATTCTACAATGCTCATATATATAAAGGTATAATAATTACAATCCCTTGATGGTAGGGATTGGAAGTCAAAAGAAGAATTATGATCCCTTGATTATAGGGATTGGAGATTAATACAAAAGATTTGAATTGTAATCATTTGATTATAAAAATTGGAAGTCCAATGAAAGAATTTCAATTTGAAATGTAGGGATTGAAAGTCAAATGCAATAATTTCAATTTGAATTGGAGGGATTGGAAGTCAAATGCAATAATTCCAATTTGTTACTCATGCTCGAAGATACATATTTGTTGGCTATCCCCCATGGCCAAAGTGCCTATCATTTATATGATCTTGACAATCTCAAAATCTTTACTAGTCGAGATGTTGTATTTCATTAACATATTTTCCCAGTTCAAAATGATCCACCACCAATTCCCTCCAAGACAATTATACTTCTATTATTATCATATCTACCTACACCATCAACCAGAGAGAACCTTACTCCTTCAACCTCCATTCCACCCAACCCCCAACACCATCCCTCACCCCTGACCAACTACCTACAAGTGCTGCCAATCCCAATCATCATTACTCCACATGTTGTCTACAAACCAATGCCTCCAGCTATTAGTCGTTCAGATAGAACCCGCAAAAAGCCAACCTATTTGGAGGATTATCATTGCTCCATTGATGTGCACTCTACCATTACTGCAATGTCCTTTCAGCAACAGGTCCAAACTCCTCACCACCTGTGGAGTGTTGTCTTTTCTTATGACAAACTCTCACAGCCATGTCGCACTTTTGTTACTACCATCTCTTATTCCATTGAGTCTATGTTTTTCAAACAAGCATCACTTGATCCACATTGGAGGGAAACTATGAGCAACGAAATTTCAGCCCTTGAAGCAAATAACACATGGGCTCTAGTGGAACTACCTGTTGGGAAAATACCCATTGGCTGCCAATGGGTATACAAAATAAAATATAAAGCCGACGGGACTATTGAATGTTACAAAGCTCGCCTAGTTGCCAAAGGTTACAACCCGAGAGAAGGCCTTGCTTATCACAAGACATTTGCCCCAATAGCCAAACTAGCCATTGTTCAATGTCTTCTTGCACTGGCAGCTATCAAAGATTGGTCCCTTCACCAACTTGATGTCCAAAATGCCTTTTCGCATGGTGATTTGAAGGAAAAGGTATACATAAAGATTCCACTTGGTTTTTCACATAAAGGGGTGCACAAAGTTTGTCGCTTGAACATGACCCTTTATGGGCTTAAACAGGCCTCACGCCAGTGGTTCGCCAAATTTTCAAATGTTTTACTAGCCGCTGGCTATACTCAATCCAAAGCTGACTATTCTCTCTTTACCCATCACAATGGGCCATCTTCCACTTATGTCCTTGTGTATGTAGATGATATTCTGATTACTGGGAATGATCCAACTGTGATTGATTCTCTCAAAGAGTTTCTTAGAAAGCATTTTTCACATTAAAAATTTGGGTCCTCTACAATATTTTTTGGGAATTGAGGTCATCAAATAAAAAAAGGGTATTTTACTTACCCAACAGAAGCATACCCTTGAAATACTTCAAGATATGGGCCTCCTCGCTGCTTGTCCCATGTCATTTCCAATGGAACAAAGTTCAACCTAATTTCTACAGATGGTCCTTGCTTAGGAGACCCCGCTTCTCATCGCTGGTTGGTTGGAGGTCTCATATATTTCACCATCACTCGGCCTGATATTGTATATTCAAATGTTCAGTCCATGTTCTTAGTCAGTTCATGACTCAACCACGGAAACCACATTTCAATGCATAAATCTAGTACATTACTTGAAAGGGACTCCAGGTCAGGGTATGCTTCTTTCTGCATCAAGTACATTATAACTCACTGCTTACTGCGACTCCGATTGGGTAAGTTGTCTAATGACTCGACGCTTGACTACTGGGCACTGCACAATATTAGGAGAATCCAATCTCCTAAAAAACAAAGAAGCAAAATATTGTCTCTCGATCTTCTGCTGAAGTTGAATATCGTTCCATGGCAATCGCTTCTTGTGAATTAACATGACTAAAATATCTCCTTTTGGATCTAGCTATTCACCACAAAGATCCTATGAGACTCTACTGTGATAACAAAGTTGCAATTCACATTGCTGCCAATCCCGTTAATCATGAGAGAATAAAGCACATCCGAACAGCTTATGTTCCAACCAAGGATCAACGTGTCGACATCTTTACAAAAGCTCTAGGCAAAGACTGATTTTATTTTTTAGCACGCAAGTTGGGCATTCTTGATGTTCATGCTCCAACTTGAGGGGGAGTGTTAGGAATTACTGGGTCAACCACTGATTAAAATTAAAATTATTGCATTTGACTTCCAATCCCTTCAATCAAGAGATTACAATTCAAATTTTTTGTATCAATCTCCAATCCCTACAATCAAGGGATCATAATTCTTGTTTCGACTTCCAATCCCTATAATCAAGGGATTACAATTCAAATCTTTTGTATAAATCTCCATTCCCTACAATCAAGGGATCATAATTCCTATATCTCTATATATACGAGCATTGTATAATAAAATGCTATGTCTTTGAAGTTTTCCTCCAAACTTCACATCCCGTATCCATTTATCAGTTTTTTAATTAATAGAGACACGCCACTTTACGATTTCATATATGGCCGCATAATAGAAACACTCTTCCTATGATTTTCATAAGCAACCAGCCAATGAATGAGCAAAAAATGACTATTTTTTCAAATCAAGGATTTCAATCGCTTGCTCTCTCGTTTCTTCACTAAAAGTTACAAAACAAGTATAAAAAAAATTGTAAAATTATTATCTCAAAATTAGTATTAAAATTTGTCAATAGGCATTCAGACAAGAAACAACGTCAAGTCAAGGTGGTAGCACCACCTGTGACACATCTACCGGTCTCAGTTTCCATTCCTACCAATGCTTACCCCTTTCAAAAACTATCAACGGTTTCAAAATTGCTAACCCACTACTAACAGTAAACGTTGAAAAAAAAAGGGCAATTATCAAAAATATATTAATATTTGGCTTATTAGAAAAATCCTTATACTTTCTTAAACCTCGTTCATACCCCTTTTTTTCACTTTTCACGTTTTTTTTACTAAAATAGCCTTCACGGTAGTCGTATGACTGTCTATCATGAGATCATCACGGTACTTAAAATACCGTGATGACCATTAATATATAACAGTACCTAAAATACCGTTACGAACACAAGGTGTATCACGACACATAAAATACCGTGATTGCATTTTAGTTACTGTTATACCTAACCAGCTTTTAGAGAGGGAGAGTGTCATTCTTTTCCTTGCTCAGCCTCTAAGTCAGAGAGAGAAAGGGCCATGTTTCGAACTCTCAGATTCTGCAGAGCTGTAGCATCAGCCATCATCTCACACTCAAAGTTCTCAAACCCTACTCCATATACCCTAAATCCCCAACCTCTATTACATGCTCTTTGCCCCTTCTCTTTTCCTCTGCAATCACTGACTCAGAGCTCCGAAAGAGCATTGGCTATGGCACTCTTTTTCTAGGTTGTGGAATAGCCACCTATTACTCATTCTCATTCCTCGAAAATGCAAAGCACAAGAAAGCTTACAAGGCTTTCGCTATGCTCCATTACCTGATGATCTCCACACTGTAACGAACTTGAGTGGGACTCATGAGGTACAAACTAGGGTTTTTTGCAACCAGAGAACTTGGAAGAGCTCAAGAAAATGGTGAAGGAGGCCAACAAGAAAGGCCAGAAGATCAGGCTTGTGGGTTCGGGCCTCTCGCCTAAAGGAATGGGGTTGCCGAGAAGAGGCATGGTGAATTTGGCCCTAATGGACACGGCTTTAGAGGTGGATAACAAGAAAGCTGGTTAGGGTCACTGTATTTTATGTACCGCTATACATCTCATGGTCATCACGATATTTTAAGTACCGTGATACCTTCAGAGTTATACAACTACCGTAAAGGCTATTTTGGTAAAAAAACACGAATAGTGAAAAAAAAAATATGGACAAGGTTTAGGAAAGTATAGGGGTTTTTTCTAATAAGCCAAAAA